TATCCCCCACACCATTTCACCACCAGCCTAAACCATTACTACAAGGCTTTCATGTTGTTGATGCCAAATTCTGACCCTACCATCCGAATGTCGCAGCAGAAATCGACCAGGCAACATTTTTTCCAATCTTGTCAGCAAAATTGGTATGCATCTTCAACTCCATGCCCTGAAAGTGCTCAAAAAGTTTCGCAGTGCCACCTTGTGGTCAAAAGTTATAAGGAAATTTTGAAAATGCCAATAACTTCTGCTGCATTAACCTTATTGTCACGCGACTGGTCTTGATAGATTCCTTGGAAGGTCGTGCACACATTGATATCAAAATCTTCATAATTTGACCAATTTCCTGTCTGCTACTGTTATGCAAATTAAATTGCTACTTTTTAAACTCCTCCTAGACCGCTGGTCCAATTTTCATCAAATTTGACTCAGATTATCTACAGACCATGCTGACAAAAGTTATCAAATTCGTATCGATATGGGTAATTGTTTTTGCGTATTACACCGACAAACGTGCTGGCATGATGCCTAACAACATGTGAGGCTGTATCTCTGCGATGCTTAAAGATATTGACATTTTAGTTGTGTCATTGCTGCATCATAATGAACAAACCATAAATATTTGGTGACAGCACTCCCTATGGGTCAAAAGTTATAAACCATTAATTATAAATTAATAACGAAACTTACCAATTTGGTAATAACTTTTGACTGAATATGCTAACTTTGACGAAAATAAGCTCAAATTATTTTTTAAGTGTTGCTGAAAACATATATACCCCTTATGACATAAGCCCCTTTCACACATACAGACCTTTCCGGAAAATTACCGGCAATTGTCCGGAAAGGTTGTATGTGTGAACAGGTCCTTTTTGAAAATACCGGTAAATTCGTTCTGGCTATTTTCCGGAAAGAGAAGTTGTAACATTACCGGCAATTTGCCGGAATGCTGCGCTGTGTGAATGCAGAAGGAAGATTGCCGGAAAGAGCGCGTGCACGTCTAGAACGTGCTGACGTGAGACGTCTTCTTTAGCCAGTCACAACAGTCAGACGCATTTACGTCCGCGCGGTTTATGTTAATTAAAGCCTTTGAATATTTTTCCAGACACATTTAGCTGCTAGAAGTTAGTCAGATCACGTTTATATGTTCTTCTTAATGCCAAATGTGTAAATAATCATCGATGAGATGCTTATGATAAGCCGTTGTTTGTTTACCTTCAAGCTTTGCGTGTGCCTGTAAAACAGCCTGTGAGCGCCTGCACATGCACATATTATATACATCTCGATGACATGCGAAAGTGATCCTGCGAAAGTTGTTCACAATACTGATTAATGATCATCCACAGAGTTTAGTCAAATGTTTACAAATACAAGCGCAGCCGTTTAAAGCTCATTTGTGGTGAATGATGTCAGAATTTTCCGGTATTTTGTAATGGATGTGTGAATGCTCTTTTCCGGAAAATTTCCGTAACGCCCTCGCCTGTGTGAACAGCGCTTTTTTGAATATACCGGTAGAGTCGTTCCGGAAATTTTCCGGATATTTACCGGTATCACTGTGTGAAAGGGCCTACAATTGCCAAAGCTTTCTGTCTGCCATTTTGAATTTGTTCAAAAACGTACTTTTTCGAACTTCTCTTCTCTGGCCATTGGTCCAAATTTTCACAAAATTTGACCCGCATAATCTTCAAAGCTTGTTTACAAAAAAGTTATAAATTTTGTGTTAATAGGCAATACGGTTTTTGTTTACTGCACCAACAAGTGTGCTGGTACAATGCTAAACCGCATCTGAGGCTGTATCTGCAAAGCTTAAACTTATTGACATAAAACTTAATGTGTGTCATTGTCATCCACACTGACCACATTACATAAACTTGGTAGCAGACCACCTACTGGTCACAAGTTATAAACCAGTAAATTTGTCAAATTTTTGTTTTTGCTTAGATTTCCATTTGAATGAACTTCAAACATATTGAGAACTCATTGTTTCACTTGATCTGCTGCTCTATAGAGCTTACTGCTCATGGCCTCTGGACTGCTTTGTCATTCGGCCTCTGGATTGCTTGGCCCCACAATTGCTGCTTGCAGCGATATTTATTAATATTATGATAATATTATGATTATTTATTTTTAAACAATATGTATCACTAATAGAACCTTCGTGCGGACTAACAATTGCTCTGTATCCAGCTCCATTATTGCCTTTATTGCTGCATGTATTTCATTTATTTTTCCTTTATTAGACTGGCTTTGTGTTCAATTGTCAGTCAAATGAAGGCCTGGAGGTTATTTACACTATGCTGCAAACTGCTTTTGCGCTCATTGCATTGAAGCCCAAAATGAGGCTCATGAAATTCTCAAAAACTGAATTTTACATTGATGTGTAATTAAATCAAATATGAACAGTGTTGCACTCATAACACAACAGATTTAGCATGATTGGATGTATTCAACCAACAAGCCAATCAGAGAATTACATTTAATAGTAGTCATTATAAATATATATATATATATATATATATATATATATATATTAAGGGTGTCACGATCCTCCAAATCCTCGATTCGATTACATTTTCGATTCTAAAGGCACGATTCGATTCGATTTTCGATTAGGAATAATTAATTAATTAATGACCAATTCATTATTTGTAGCCTACCGTTTAAACTACCTGACCTGCGTAGTCTTTGTTTTACCCATAAACAAATCATACAGTAAATGAATAAAGGTAAGTTACACACATAATTACCACCTGTCAATCACTTTTTCTGCAGGACTCGTG